CACCAGGCCTTCAGGGAGAGCTCCCTCAAGACTCCTTCAAGGCAGGGAAATATCAGACATCTCTCTATGGACAAGCATGTTGCCATGACCTTGGACATCAGGGACTCTGCTTCCAACTGGCTGAGCCCATACAGTAAGTACGTGGGCTACAGATGGTGACTCCCCACCTCACTGACACATGGCCTGAGCCATCACTTCTCCTGCATCCCCTGGCCCAGCCCTGGGACACATACAGCATTATCAAAATGGTCTCTCTTCCTGGCCACTCATCAAGAAAACCTTACTCAGAGCAGACAGAAATATCCCCCCTCCTCTCATTATCAGATTAAATCCAAAGGGAGCATAAAAACACAGGGTGATCCCTTAATCAATAAGCAGCAGCAATAAACTACAAATACTCTTCATACAACCAGTTCCTTATTCCCCTCTCCCCTTCTGCAGTGGCAGTACACATCTTACTTAGACTGCAGCAGATGCTGGACATTTGTTCTGGCACCAGACACTGTCCTGGGACCCTTCTTTCTTCCCTCCCTGGGACGATCAACTTTGCAGTTCAAGGAATACTAATGCTTCCCTCAAATCCTCGCTGAAAGACAAGGCTGCATTCTTCTACTCCCAATCCACAAGGTAACTGTTTAGACGACCCAACTTGCATATGTAAATTGAATTCTTTAGAAACCAGAGTGCAGCAGGATTCCAGACAGAGCGCTTATGGGATGCTCTGGGACTTTTTCCTCTCTTCTGCGTATATTTTTCTGGGGAGGAAAAGAGCATTGCTGGCTAGAAATGGGTGGGAAATAATATCCTATTCTCTGAACCTTTTCTGAGATTTCAGCAAGTTTCCATTCTGTGCTGGAACAAAGAAAACAAACAAACAAAAGATCTTTCAGAGTTTTTAAGGAAACAACGAGAGGGTGTGCCGTCTGCTCAGAGTAGCCAACAGCTGGCTTCTTTAGGAAGTCATCTAAGATCCAGCACATCCAGCCTGCAAACCTAGAGCTGCTGGTCCTTCAAGCCACAGACAAGGCACTTCTTTCCGAGGTCGTTGTGAGGCTGGGCTCACTCTGTCCCTCCTGATGGAGCAGTTGCTTCACACAAACCTGCTGGAGGAGAGTCCCGAGCTCACCTCTCACAGACACATGCCTGCTGACTGCAGTAACCACTGGGCTGCACTGCCAGCCCTGCTCCATACTCCAATGGCTATTAAATCATTTACTTGAAGTAGAACGGCTCCAGCAACACTGACTGAAAGAGGCCAGTGAAGCTGAATCACTATTTGAATTGGGGAAATAAAGTCCTGCTTGATGATTTGCCCGTATCCTAGGTAACTGCCAGCTGATGGCTTTTTGGCTATGCTGGGCTGGACAAAGCCTTCTCCCGCTTAAACTGCTAATTGTGAGTCAAGACATTCATGATTGCCAGGCATCAGGCAGGGATCCCCCCCTGTAGCTCCAGAACTGGATGAAATGCCATGACAGCACTGCAGGGTCATCCCTGCTGGTGGCCACCCTAAGGTTGCACAGGCGTGTCCATGCAGCCCTCCTGGCCTGTGTGACTCTGCAGCGCCGCTTGGGGCAAGCTGAAACTCCAGATGTTTCTCCTCCATTCCCTGACTCAGCATGGACAACCCGACCACACCGTCGACACTGAGCAAACAGAACTGATGGATCTGAAAATTATCTCTGCTTCCCACCCTGGCCATGAGAGTCTTATTCTGAAGATCTGGATCTTGTTGCTAGAGCTGCCACTGCTCTGTTCACTGATCATTTGATCTCCTTTCTATTCAGGGTGTCCAGTGATGAAGTAGCTTTGCTCTGTACAGTACTTTGAGATCTGATGTACAGGGCTATGTGAGTACAGGCATTGAGTCAGTCTGGATATACTCTTGAGAGCAAGCAGCACCTCCTGAAGGGCTGAGGGTAACAGAAGCCCTGGTACTTAGGAAAAAAGAAAAATAAGCTGGATGTACTACTGTCATCAGAGAGGTGTGGTCATCTCCAGCTTCATCTGTGCTCCCCACCAGTCTTTACTGCCCCAGGGATGCTCCTGTGCAACCACTCTGTCACCTGGAACAATCCACCATGTGGCAGCCACTTCTAGAATAGAAATGTAAAAGATTGTTTTGATCTGGTGAATAGATCCTGTAAATTACTCTCAAATGTGCCCCACCAGCAATGTTGTGACATTGAAAATTGATTAGATTTTGATTTGAAAATGTAGGCTTTCCAGAAAATGGATGTAAGCCTGGATCCAAACTCCACTCTTGGATTTAGAGTACCTGTTTGGATGACAGAATGAAACAGGACAGCTAACTGCAGGGTTATTTAGTCTCCACTGGAACTGGCCTGAAGACTCTAGCAGTCTGGTGCAAAAAACTGGTCTTCTTCAGTGGTGTAGCCACTTCTAGCTGCACAGTGAAAACCCTGCTGAAGAGCTGCAGCTCTGGAGTACCCTACCTCAGTCACTATTTAAACACATAGCAGACCTGACACATGGTCAGTACCAACAAGCTCCAGCTGACACTTGTGTCCTATTTTACTTTTTTCTGAACCTAGGCACCTGATGGGATTAAAACCACTGACAAACATGAAGGCATTGAGAAATTCTCCGGGAAATGCAATTACAGCAACCAGAAGGGTCCAAGTATGTGTCTGTGGAACAACAACCATACCCAGTGTTTTGGGCTCCCATGGACCTGCAGATGTTTGGAGGTGACATGACACTGAACAGGTCAGTTTTAATATATGCTTATCTGCTGCTTTTTTTTTTGCAGGTGCCAGTGTTATCACAGATATGCAGTGGTGCTGTGTGTAGTTTAACAGGAATTACCTGCACTTGCAGCAAACTAATTCTTGTGAAGTTCTTATGTTCAGAGGCTCTCTGGGAAGGAAAGGGCTCTCTGAACGACAAATCCTCAAGGTGGTGACTCAGTAGAGTTTTATGCATGCTACTGATATTCTTGTCTCAGAAAAACACCATAAGAGGATGCTTTATTAAATTATCTGTTCAACTATTTACTTAGGCTCTGCTGATTAAAATTTTTGAAATAACTTTCTAAAATGAGAGGGAGACTCTGTTTCCTCAAGCCAGTGTTTCAGAGCCATCCAGTTCAGCCTCCGCCTTGACAATGCCAAATTCTCTCTTCTCTCCAGCTGATGGATAAAAGCAAACATACAGACCAGAGACTGGCACGGGACTGCTGCTCCCTTTCACACTCTTAAACTGGTGTCTCAGGTCACATCCTCAAGATGATTGAAAGTTTTCATCTACAACAGAGCATGTGAAGGCCCAGAAAAGGCTTCTCAGTTACTCATCAACAAAGCTTTATGAGAGATCAAAACAAATGCTTGGTGAACCCTGGCTTTGCAGTGAATAATGGTTATGAGCTTGGCTGCATGAAGCTGGGACCTTTGATATGTGATTCACTCTAGGGCTGTGTTCAGAAGAAGGCAAGCAGTAAGAAAGCAGTAAGTAAGAGGAACATCTCAGATGACTTCAGATAAAGACTGATATTAAGCAAACCAGAGGATGAGTATCTTGGTGTGCTGAAAGTCAGCCTTTGCTAGCATGAAAACAGTTGTGTTTGCTTTCCTTACTGGCTGTTTGTGAGGCACTGCTGGTCAGAGATGGACTAATAAGGAGGCAAGGAGGAAGGAGTCTTGTTCATGAGCCTGAGGAGAACTTGGCAGGGCTGGTTTGCACCCATCTGCTATAACCACAGGCATTAACCCTTTGGAGGGAAGACACAGTGTTCTTACTGACCAGTTGCTTTGTATCAGAGAAGCCTGGAATATATTTTGGGTGTTAGAGGCGGGATGGTACCAAGGAACATGTACCCTCTCCTTCACACCGGGATCTAGGTTCATGATTAATCTAGGAATTGGCAGCAGAAAATGATTATTCAGGTAAAACTTCTGCGGCAGCTGCAGATAAGAATTTGTTTTTTTTTTTTTTCGTTAGAAATATCTATAAACTCCCATCACTGAACAGCCAGAACAGCTTTTATCATTCTAAACCAGTCACTTTATGAAGCATCAAGACCGCAAAGCCTTTCATCTTAAAAGCTCAACAACAGAAACTTTGAAGCGGTAATGAAACGATGCAGACCTCCACTCCAAAAATTATAATGGTCCACAGGCAAATCTGAAGGCAGCCCAGGAAACAGAAGCTGGGGTCTGTAAATCAAGATGAGACTCTTTCTTGCAGAAGAAATAATCCCCAAACTGCTTTCTATAACATCTGCCCAGCCCCAATTCTTACAAGACGCAACATAAAGTGAAAGAGAAGACATTTCTAGCAGCTTGAAAAATCATTTGGACCTCAGATATGCATCCAGATAGACTTTGCCAATCTCACCAGGGCAATGGTCAAGCCGTAGGGGTGACTCAGCACTGCAGTGCCTAACATGATTTTACTTTGTCTTCATTTACTGAGGAGCGAGAACTTTCTGGGTTTATAATGCCCAATACTAGCATAAATACCACATTCCTGCAATTTTTTTTTCTCCCACAAAGTACTAACATGTCCTCTCCACCATGGCTCCTCATTAAATTACTTTTTCTCCTTGGGGACCCGAGAGGTCCCAACCAAGACGGGAAGTCCATCGCCAAGCATGCAGAGCAGTGAAATGGCCAGCATTTGCCCCAGTTAGACATGGAGTGGGATGGGGAGCCAGAGCTGGAGTTTGCCCCCAGTCACACTGTGGTCATCCATGGCCAAAGCAGTGGGACAGCAGCAACGCCCTGCCTGCTGCACCGGCTCATCTACCCATGCAGCAGCCATGCCGTCCTCCCAAAGAGGCCACAATGCATATCTTTTAAATCATGTATATTTTGTACATACATATGGAACAAGGTGGGACAAGACAAAAATTATAGTGTGACACCCATGGGTTTTGGCAGTGCAGAGTGACCATGTATAGCAACCTCCACCTGGAGGACAGCCCCATAAGCTTGCCCCAGAATTTTGGCCGTGCCAGGAAGGCCTGGACCGCTACTTACCGTCGACGGGGCTGAGGTAATCATGGATGTGGGCTGTGCCGGCTGCTCCCCCGCTCTGCATCAGGAGGTCCCCGTACGGGTTTGGGTGGCCGGCCATCAGTGTCATTTGGTGGTAGTAGTCCGTGGG